ATATATGAATATTAAAAGTAGTAAGATTTAAATTATTTAAAAAAAAAATTGTCTTAGAAAACAAATTTTTTAAATAATTTTTTTTTTCAAGATTTTTCTAGAAAAACGTAGAAAACTATTTTTTTTATATTGTATTTTGTAATATTAACAAATATTCAGAAGTGCAAAAATACCTAACAATAAATTATGATTCTAAAATTATATTGAATAACAAATAAGTTATCAAACCAATGTTAAAATATAGTTATCATATTTATTATTTTTATTATTATAATAATACAGATTGCTTTATGTGAGACTTTGGTTTAAGGCATACGTTGAGTTACATAAGTTTCATCGTGTGAAAGTTAATTATAATTAATTAATACTTTAATTAATACTTATTATTAGCAACGTTTATTATTAAATCTCGTCTTTATCTTAAAGTTTACCAGTTGCATATTCTTATATCGTATTGTTATTGTATATAAACCAAAGACACAATGTAATTTCTGTATCATCATTACGAAATGTATTAAAAAGAGATATTTATCAAAACGCAAAAAATAATTTTTATTTCTTGTTATAATTCCATAATGGCTATATTTTTATAATTTTCTTGTATATTGAAATTTAAATATATATTATAAAGAGTGTTCACATTATTATATTAATATATTAATATTATTATATTAATATTATTATATTAATATTATTATATTAATATTATTATATTAATATTTTTGCAAATAATAAGTATTAGAAAAGTATGAAGAGAAAGAAGTTTTCTATGATAATATGAATGTACATCATACAAATATTTTATATTTATAGTATTTTTTGAAAAATAAATTCAAAAAATATTTTTTTAAAAAATATATAAGTATATATTTTATGTTTTATTTATTATGATAGAAATTTTTTTTTAATATAATACTTTCTAATTACTTATAATATAGTCTTTTTAAAATCATTAGTACTTTTTATTAGAAAAATATATGCATATTTACATATTATATTTTTTATTATATTTTATATATAAAAAAAATATAATTATATTATATAAATAAAAATTACAAATAAAAAAATATATTGAATAATAGTAAAATAATAATTTTCAAATGGTTTTGAACACTAAAATGACAATGATGAAATTATCACAAGTAACATTTTAAAATAGTATCTATTAGCAATTATATATTGTCTAAAACGAATATATATATATATATCATGAATTTTGGTACTTATTTAAATATTTCTATTGAAGTAGTCACACAAATTTTAATTATGCAATTTATCATGCCATCTGAAATAATATAATATTGATATCCATTTTCTTTTAAAAAAAAATTTAATGAGATTAGATCTAGTAAATATTTAATCTAATGATTTTATATTGGCAATGAATATTTCAATAATTACCTAAATAATAATATTAGTATATTTGACACAATTTCATAAAGACTAAATCATTTTTTAGCAATTTATTTAAGTTATTTAATAAAAGTATTTTGAATTTTTATATATATATATAAAATGTCTCATTAATAAAATGAAATCTAATAATTATGGTATTTAAAATTCTACATCAAACATTTATTGATTACAGTTTTTGTCTATTTAAAAAAATAATAATTATTAATTTGTCTCATTCATTATAACATTCATTATATTGTTATTGCCAGATATTTTAAGTTTATTTATAAAAAAAGAAATTAATTTTGATATCATTCTAATATTTTCTAATTCATCACTATTTTAATCTGAAAATCATAATGCTAATATTTTTATAAAATTTTTTATCTGTTACAATTGTATTTTTTTATTCAATTTTTTTAAAAAATGCAAAAAAAAATATTGTTAATAAATGCCTTTTTTTAAAAAATATGATTTCGCAAAAATTAAAAAATGAATGTAAAGAAATTTTTTCCGAAATATTTCTTCCAAAATTATTTAAATTATGCATTTTTTTAAAATAATTTTCATATAATTAAAAAGAAAATTAGATATTTAGATGTTTTTTAACTAGCTAAGACATTTTATATAATAAATAATTTTCGTTCGCATAAAAATACACAAATAAAAATTATTATATATATTTATAGTAATTAATAATTTTTATTAATTAATTTTTATTAGTTAATAATTTATTACTATTATAATAAATTATATGTTATAATTTATTACATTTCGATAATTGAACATAAAATTTTCAAAACTATTACTAATAAATGAAATAAATATAGAAAAATTGAAAGATATCTTTTACTAAATAAATATAATATTTTATCAAGGATTTTAAATTTTTTATTAATTGAAAAATATTTTATTTATATCGACATTATAAAACGTTAAATATAATTTCAAATATAAATGAATGATAATGAAAAAAAAAATATAAATTCTATTAAATATCTAATTATATTCAAATATAAATCGATCGAAATTTTTTAAGTAATAAAATTAAATAAAGAAACAATCTTTAGTAAAACTATTGAAAATATATTTTTTTTATTATTATAATTCAGTTATAAAGTTAATTTAAAATAATTGTATTATTTTAAAATAAATAATTATATTATTTTAAATTAATAATTGTAATATTTTAATAAAATAATTGTATTATTTTAAATTACAGCCACTTATTATCTATTGGGAATTCTATGTTTTGGAGTAGCCAGATCCAGGCCGATTGCAGCAAGCGTTCTATTTCCCCTAGATTTTACGGCTGCTGGTGGTCTTTCAACAATAGCTGGCTATGTGCGAATATTATATGGTCTTTATTTGGAAGGTGCGGTCACTATTGCTGCTGTTGCAGTTGCAGTCTTGGGTGTATCAACTACTCAAAGTTTAACCAATATTGGACTCAAATATGGTTTATTAATCGAAGCTTAATATTCTTAATAAATACTTTATATATATAATAAACATATATATGAAAAATAATTTTACTGAATCATTTTAACGTATTTTATATGAAATGAACATTATGAATAAAAATACTTTGTAACACAATATTATAATCGTATTCACTTAGAAATATACAAATAAATAAGAGATTTAATAAATAAATAAGAATATTTATTACAATAATATAAAATGTCAAAAAAAAATATTGTACTTTTATAACAAAATGTGGAACATATTTCATTAAAATAAGAAGTTAAAAAATTTTATATATTTAAAAGAATTATATATATGTATATATTATATATAATATAAATACTATAATTATATATAATATAATTATAGAAATTAAAATAAATACAAAAGAATATAAAAATATCTGTCAAAACTTTATTAAATTTCAAGCAATTGAAGTTTGTGTTAAATGAAACAAAACAAAGATAAAACAATGGCAATATAACAGAGATAAAATCGTCATAAATAAATTTTACTAATATTTTTATATACTTATTTTTATATTTATTTTAATTTGTAGAATCAAAAGATATATCAGATCCATGAATATATTAATTGTATATGAAATATATAATATAATAAAATAATAAAATAAAATAAAATACAATAAAATATTAATAATAGCACTTGACATTAAATTATATATTATTCAAAAATTTTATATATTTTATACAAAAATTTCGACCGAAAAATTAATTATTATATTATAAATTATTATTATACTTTAAACTTCGTAAAAAAAATTGAATCGTCAATACATTCATTTTAAAGTGCGAAATTTTTTATCTTAAACTTTATTTCTTCTATATTTTTTAAGTATGATTTATGTATGACAATTTCTCTTTATAAGTTATAGTTCAAAAATCGATAATTTTTTGTTCAAAATTTAATGTTTCTTTAATTTTATGAAATAGTTATATTTATGATATTTTGAATTTAAATATTATATTTTTTATTAATGTATATAATATATATAATATTATATATATTTTATATATAATATATAATATATTTTATTATATTATTTTATATTATATTTATTTTATATTATATTATATGTGTATTATATATGTAAAATTAAAATTAAAAATAATTTTTAATTATTTTTAAATTATTTTAAAATTGTTAATATTAATTTATTGTTATCTTCATAAACTTACATAATTCAATTAAGTTTTAAAACGTTAATTTTTAATATTATTTTTCAATTTAAATAATATTTTAATAAGATATGATTTTTATATTAAAAATATATTATATGTATATACAATCTATTATTATGAAGAACTAATGAATAAAACATTATGTATATATATATAAAATAACAATATAATTATATATAAACATGAAAACATAAAATATGTTATTACAATATATATTTTGAAAATAATATAATGTATATCTTTATTAATAAATTATCTCTTTCATTTTATAATTATATTTAAAAAATTTAATATGAATATCAATTTGCATTATTTTATAATTACTACATAATTACTACATATACATTGCTAAAATTTAAAAAATCATAATTTTTTAATATATATAAAATTGAATATTTAAATAATTGATTATTGAAAAAATTATTTAAACTAGAATATTAATTTTAAATTATATAGGTTTTAACATTTAAATTCTATTTATTAAAAAAATATTTTTGTCTTATATATTAATATTTTTCAAAACATTTATTTTTTATGACTTATAATTTTTATTATTATATTATTTATATTTATATATAAATGAAAATAAAATATATAATACATTTTCTATTACAATAAAATATTTATATAATTTTATATTAGAAATAATATTAAATTTTCTTCATTAGTTACAGTAAACATAAAATAAAAAGAAAAAGATTCACAATTTGAAAACAAACAAATTTTTTAGAATAAATTCAACTATTTGCTTTCTATTTTTGCATATACACACAATATAATTAAATCAATAGATTATTTATGTTGTAATTTTATGTTTTCTTCTTATTTTATTCTTACATTAATTTATATTAAATATATTTAAAAACATTAAATTTACAAATTTATTTTGGATAGTATGAAAGGAATATGTATAATGATAAAGCATAAATAGAAATAATTTGCGTAATTTATTACACAAAGTAGCACAGCTATAATTGTCTATTAATTTTGATATTTCAGAAACTATTAATTTTTTTATGAATATGTTCTATTTGCAAAGGAACATTACTTAATTATAGTTTAAATAATCAACAATAATCCCAATGTATAATCAAATTTTAAAAAATATAGATTATAGTCAATTTTAAATTTAAATAATATTTATGATATTGATATATCAGAAACATCTTAAACATAATAGCTTTTCCTATTTTTACATTTCTTTATTTAATTTTAGAAATGTTACTAACTATTATTTTTCATTTTTTCCTTTTTTTTTAATTGTTGAAAATTGTTAATAATCAAATTTGAACTTTAAGATGCTTCCCGTCTTCTCATTGTGTTAATATCTCCATTTCTTAATCTATTTGTTTTCTTTCCAGTATTATTTTGAGATTTATTTTCTGAATCAGAAGTTCCACAGTTTATATGAGAAATATTTTTGCCATCTAATGCTATCCGTATAGATTCCACTAAATTCAAAGGACCAGTATAACTCTCTTTAGTCCCTGTAAATAAATATATTATAATAAAAAAATTTCGAAAATATAATAATCTTTCTTTAATATAGTTAATTAAATCTTACATAAATTTTTTCCTACATTAATTGAATATAAATACATATAAAGTATATATCATAATTTATTCAAAAATATTTTTCAAAATTTCTTTACAAACATATATATATTTTATTTTATATATATATAAAATAAATATAAAATAAAATAATATATAAAAATATATACACAAAATATATATATATATATTATAATATTTACATAAAATTAACAGGAAAAACAAAAATACATAATAACAAATAAAAAATAATTATGAATTTTTTTATTATATGAATAAATTAATTTCTTTTTTTTTTAATTAATGTATATATTTTTTTATTTTCTTTTCTTTTCATACTATTCCATATAACAATTTTAAAATACTTGGCATTGCTTAAAACTATATCAAATAAAAACAAAATGTTGTAATTTATAACTCGTGTAAATTTGAAAAATGTACTAACGAAACCGTATTAAACGAGGGATATAATCTATTTTGTGATAAATATATAGATCATAAAAATAAATTCTACAATATAATTTTTATGCTTTCTCCGAAAAGTTCACTCACCAAATTTTAGTCTATCCAAATATAGCTTTCTTGATTTTATTAAGGAGACCATCATTTTCAACATTCTGTTCACTTTGCATATTCTGTCTCGCTTGAGTTTTTACCCTTGGACCTGCCAAAAAAATACGTACAATCTCAAAATAAAAGAATTTATAAAATGAATAAATTATAAAAATAGAAAATATTCTGATGATTATTAATTAATTTACTAAATAATTTGTTAATATTTTTTTTTACTTTTTAAAAACATAAAACACTAATGAAACGCATATATAAATTTTTACATCATTTATTTAATTAACAAGGGCAGGTACACATAAGGAAACTCAAGCGACACATAAATCTAATCTTATATTATTTTATAAAAAAATTATTTAAAAAATTCTATATTTGATAATAATTAAGTTCAATTTAATTAAAAAAAATTCGAATATATCAGTTTTTCGGTATATATTTTTAACTAATCATATATATTCTTCGTTGTCATGATTTGTCATGTTTATTCTTACCATCTGTTTTGTATGTTATGCCATGTATACTTCCAGGTGTATCATCTTCGAGTTCAGCATATGCTTGAAGTAATGCTAATTGTTTATCATTTAATTTTGTAGGTACAATAATTTTAATTTGTACATAGTGATCTCCATATCCTACACCATTCACTTTTTTCATTCCTTTACCACTGAGTCGAATTTTAGTATGAGATGAAGTACCAGGCCGAATTTGTATAGTATGATCCTCATAAACGCCTTCTATTCTTATTGTACCCCCAAGTACTGCTTGTGATAATGAAATTTGAGCATCTGTATGTATATCTGGACCATCTCTTCGAAAGTATTTCGATTTTTCCACACGGAATGTTATGAATACTTCTTTGTTACCAACAGCCATCCGAATTGTTTGACCATCTTCAACACCAGCTGGTACTGGAACTATCACTTTTTTACGTTGCACCTTTTAAAATTTGATATAAGATGTAAAATTAAAAATTGTTTTTTATTTATCTTTAATCTTATTTTTTAAATTATTTATTTATTTTTAATCAATATGATATATTTTTATACCGTTTGTCCTTTTCCTTGACATTCCTGACAGGGATATTTAATAAACATTCTGGTACCTAAACAATAACGGCAACTAGATCGCATTACAAAAGGACCAGTGCTAATCGTTTCCATTCCAGTTCCATTACAATATGGGCATCTAACTGCTTTTGTTCCAGGTTCACATCGTGAACCTAAACATTTTGGACATGTATCTACTACATTTAATTGTATATCTTTATTCACTCCTCTGGCAGCTTGAGGAAATGTTAAATTCATAATAACCTAAAAATCAGAAACAATCATATAATATTAATGCACTAAAAATGTATACATCCATGTATGCAAGTAAAATGCAATGTATATATAATAAAGTTAAAGAAGTAAATAAATTTGGCATAAAATTACTCGAATAAACTTAAAATCTCATAATTTATATATAAAATTGGAAATATATATTATTATGTGATCTGCAATGTTTTTGTTTAACAATCTGTATTAATTTGAAAAATGGTACCTTACATTCTAAATCATTGTTTAATAAATTTTTGTCATTTAAAGTAAATAAAAATAGTCAATATAGAATGTTCTTAAGAAACTTAGTGAAATTAATAGATGATACTGCTTTAATAAATTGTTTGAATTTATATCATATACATCTTTAACCAAGCAATTGAATAAAACAATTTATTTTGATAAAATTTAAAATATATATTTCAATTAAATTTCATTAGATTTTATGGATAATTTAAATTTTGCTTGAATAATATTAAATTTGTTTATTCTCTTAATTTTGTAATATATAATAATAATAATATACCTCTTGAGCTGCTCCAAAACCATATTTTGACTCTTGATAATCTTCAAAATCATTAAAAATATTAGTTTGAAATCCAGTTTCTCCAAATATTTTTCTAAATAATTCTTCTGGATTGATTGATGACCGAAATTGCCATCCTTCGTTAAAGTCTTTCGTATGACCAGTACCCTGTTGTCCCATTCCCATTTGTTCTGATGTAGCTCCCCATGTATCATATTCTTTTCTTTTATTATCATCACTTAGTACTTCATATGCTTCTGAAACTTCCTGAAACTTTTTACTTGCATCTGGATCTCCTTTATTTGTATCAGGATGATATTTTTTAGCAAGTTGATAGTAAGCCTTCTTAATATCTTTTGCTGAAGCATTTTTGGATACACCCAATATTTCATAATAATTACGTTTTAATAATTTTTGCGTTGTATGTATTCCTCTTTGAATTTGAGTTAAATTTCCTATCATACCTGCAATTATATTCAAAAAATAATTTGTACTATAAAAGATTTTTTTAAATATAACAATAATAATGAATAATAAGACATATATTTGATTAACAAAATTATATAGAAAATATTTTACTATTAATTCTCTATACATATTGTAAATTATTTATTTTTTTTTATTGAAATTATTTCCAAAAATAAAATATTAAAAATAAAACATACTTTTATTTTACATATATAATAAATTATTATAATAATTGAAATAACATATTATTAACTTAATAATAAAATGAATAAAATTATCTTAAAATAAATAATGGAAAATTTATAAAATATATAAAATTTATAAAAATGCAAAAGATTATTAATTTAATTTATTAATTTATTTATTATTAATTTTATTATTAATTTATTTATATGAAGAATTTAATAACATATTATTAAAAAATATTAAATATCAATATAAAACTATTATATATAATTAATAAATTAAATAATAATTGGATAAGAAGAATTAATCAAATATTATTATAAACAACCGTTAATAGTAAAGAAAGAAGGCATGGTTATGAAGTATTAAGTATTAGGTTATATTTCACTTTGAAAATATTTTTTATTGAAATTTCAAACGACAAAAAAAATATTCATGATGCTATATATAATTTAAAATGAAAAATTTTTGTTAAATAGTAATATATTATAAGTAAATATATTTAAAATAAATTAGACATTATCAAAAGTATGATGTAATCTGTATATGATTAAACGTATACATTACATTTTTCTATTTTCTTTAAATTCCAGTTGCCGACACTCAATACTATTGTTCTATTAGATTGATGACATGTGCTACATTTCTGCATAATACCACATGACAATTTATTTAATTTACTATTGCTGATAAAATTAATAGTCTTTGATCGGAAAACGATTGCAAGTCCTTTGCCGGTCGCCATGTTGCATAAAAGACGCATGGCTGTACTATCACGTGATACATTGAAATTAAATATATATATATACAAATAGTTATATATATTTCATATAAAAATATATAAATAATTTATAAAATTTTTTCTTTTTTAAAATTTAATAAATTTTTTATTAATTTTTTAATTCAAATTAAATTTTTATGATAATTTTTTAATATTTTTAATAATTTTTTAAATATTTTCAATAATGAAAAATAATTTTCAAGTGAACTTAAACATTTAGTACAACACATTTACATAATATACATATATGTATATAGATAAAGTAAAGTGCTTTAAAATAATTCTGTAATATACATATATACAAATATGTATAAAAATTTATGATTTTCTTACTCTTTATGATTAAAATTATACCAATAAATACAATTTCGCAAAAATAAATACAATTTCACAATAAGGAAAATAAATCAGATATTTCTAATTCTAATAAAAACCTAAAACTATCACATTAAAATTTAAAATTTAAATTTAATGTTTGAAAATTTATTCAGAAAATTCTATCAATAAAGATTGCAAAATTTTTTTTTATATTATATCATTATTACAGTAAATATAAACAAAATTTGTATTAGGTATATATTAACTGTCCGCAATCTTTTCATAAATTCATTTATTAATAAATTAACTATTATTTATTATTATTATATTACAACTCGAATTAATATAATTTATATAAATATATTAAAGTATATATTTGTATATAAATATATTATAGTATATATTTCAGAATCAATTCCACAATAAAGTTTTGTTATGATTTGAAATCTAAAAAAAACTTAATAAATATATTTTTATTATAAATTTTTGTCAAGTAAGAAAATTGAATTATAACTGAATAACTGAAATTACTATATAGTATATTATTAAAAAAATATAATGGAAAATAAGCATTGTTTTGATAGATTATCGAAATTCAATGTGATCAAAAAATCTATTTTTAAAAATAAGTATCTGATAATTTTTATTTTTCAATTTTCAATATTTTCTATTTTATTATGTATTTATGATATATTATGCCATTTTTTTGTAAGTGATATTTGATACTCGAGAAAATAATTTCTATAAAATATCAGAACTCATTTTCTATTCAGAATATAGAATAATGAATAAAATAATAAATCTGTATTGTATTGAATATTGTAATGAATAATAAAAATCTGTATTGTATTAGAATTAAAATTATAGTTAAAAAAATTATTAAATTAAATTTCATAAAGAAATCTTTTTGGGAAATAACTGAAATTACTATATAGTATATTATTAAAAAAATATAATGGAAAATAAGCATTGTTTTGATAGATTATCGAAACGAAAAAAATAAAACATTTATTTTAAGAAAAAATAAAAATTAATTTTTTTGAAAATATTGTTGCTATTATATCAAAATTAAAAATCATTATAAATAAAACTATAAATTCAAAGATATTTACAACGTTAAAAAAAATCTGAATTTCATATATGTTGCGAAAAAAAAGTTTTTATTAATATTAATAGTTTTTAATAAGATTAATAAAAAAACACATTTTGATTTTGCAAAAAAATATATTAAAAAACTATTAAAATTTTAAAAAGAAATAATATTCTTGGATGAAAATAAATTTAATGTGTGAGAATCCGATGATAACAATTTAAAGATTAAAAATTAAAGAAGTCTAAGAATAACATTAGATCTACGATAAAATACGGCAACAGTTGCATAATAATGTGGGAATATATATGATTACAAATGATATACTTAGGAAATTTAGATTATAGATATTATGACAAACAAATATATATACATATATTTAAATATTTTAAAAAACAATTTATTATACATTTATTGCCAAAAAACTTGATTTTTCATTATCTTATTGAAAATGATATTATCATTTTATACTGGTTATCACAATAAATTATTTTTATTTTCTTTTAATTTTTTCTAATTTTATATGAATTTAAAATTAATATTTCATTACAAGATAAATAAATCTTATATGTAAATATATATAAATATAGAATATTATTATATATAAATAAATATAGAATATTATATATATATATATATATATANAATTGCATGCAGGAACTAATTACTAACAAACACTTTTATAAACATATTACCTCAATGTTTAATATTTAAATAATTAAATATTTAAAAAATAATAAATATTTAAAATTTATTTATATTTTTTTTTAAACAAATTATTTTTTTTATTTGAATAAAGGTCAAATCTGATTCATTATTAAAAGTTTCATCATAAAAGTATTGAAAAATAAAAGTGTAATGAAATATTTTTTATATATTGGTTAAAAAATAAATGTTATTCATTAGAAAATGAAATAAAACAATTTTTTTTATTAATAATATTTATCTTTTAAGCTTTAAATTAACAAAAACATTATTTTTAAAACCAAAAATATAAAAAACAATATAATAATCGCAAACATTTATCTTTAATCTAAAAACAATAATCTATTGATCAATTTTCTATATTCTATTAATAATTGATACTTTAATAATAATAATAATCTTATAATAATAATAATCTTAATTTAATAATAATAATAATAATAATTAAAAATAATTTAATTATAATAATCATCTAATAATATAATAATAATAATATAATAATATATAATAATAATAATATAATAATAATTATTATTATATTAAATTATTAATAACATTGAATCTAATATAATTAATTCTATTCTTTTTCTTCTAAAATAAAATAGAATCAAAAATTCTCTACATCCATTTCGCCATATGAGATTGTATTTTTTATTTTTCATTAAAATCAGCTTTAGATTTGATACTAAATTCTAAAGTATAAAAAAAATATAAAAAAATAAAATGAAAATGATAAAGATTAAAAATTTTTGATCATTCGAATTACGATATTACGATAATATCGTATTCCGAATTCATGATGCCAGTAATAACTAGTCTCCATCGAGAAATATTCTACTTATTATATTTATTATAATATATTCTAATATATTCTTAAATGTCATCTGATTTATAAGAATAAAAATGGTGTTAAATAATTAAAATAAAATATAAAAAAATAGTAATCGAAAAATATTATACTTATTTGATATGTGTTAAATGCTTATATAACTGTTTATGTATGCAATATTTACTTTTGTGAATGTCATTAAAATAGATAATAGAATATCATAATCAATTTACGTATCAATAATACAACGGCAGTAATTATTTTCATCTTGAAAATATAAACATCAGAACATTTTATCTCTAGAACTTTTAACATCAGTTTTTTTTATACAGTTTTTTTTATACGAAATTTAATATAGTAATCGTTTTTTGCAAATATCTCAAAAAGTAAAATCGAGCAATGATTACATGTATAGAAAAAAAATTGGTCAATAATTATTTAAAAAAATATTTCCTATCGACTTCAAAAATTTTTCAATTTGAAAGTGACTAATTTTTTATTAAATAATGGAAAAAATAATAAAAATGGAAAAAAAAATTATTTATTATTATATAGAATTTCGTCTATATATATGCATCTGTAATATAATCATCATTTATCTATTCTTTATGTAAACATAATATAATGCATAATTACCACGAAATTTATATGAATAAATTAATAAGTCACATTATTGTTAATATTATTATTAAAATTAATTATTGTTAATATTTAGTAAATTCTTAGTATATAATAAATTCTACGGATTTTTCAAAATGTTCAAATTCACTATGAATAGATATTAAATTTAATAATTTTATATAGATGTTAGACTCAGTAAATAATGGCGATCATATACTTACATAACAATTTTTTTTGCAAATATCTCAGAAATAAAACTAAAACTGAACGATAATAACATGTATAAAAAAGATGTTCAGAATCATAGTCAATATCATAATTCAAGATCATTGAAATTGATAAAGAATATCTTTTTGTATTTTTTTATAATTATTCAAAATATTAATTTCTGTAACATATTCAAAAATCATTAAATCAAAAATGAATAATTATTTTTAATTTTCACATATTTCCGCACATTCAAAGAATGATTATGATGATGAAAAATGGATAATTTTGTATATTTAAATAAGTAAATAAATAAATAAAAAAAGAATAAGTAAATATAATAAATATTTTAATATTTTTTATAACATATTTCATGATTGATGGCTGGATTTTTCAAACAAAGAAATACTTTGTTTAATTTTGTAGAACAATTTAAAAAAAAATATTACATTTATGAAATGATTTGTTTAAATCTTGCTTGAAAAATTAAAATTAAATTTGATAAAAATAGCTTTGGATAGAATAAAAAAACATGAGACTTATGAAACAATTGTAAAAGTCTATTATTTATTATTCTATATATATATATCCATTTTTTTAACAAGATATTTATATGAATCAATACAATATATTGCAGCATTTAAAAAAGTACATATAAATATTAAAAATATATTAAAATTATTTATTTAAATAAAAGATAAAAATAAATAAATATTTTAAATGTATTAGATATTAAATAGATATCCATGTAAAAGTATTTATATAATGAAAAAAATTTTCAATTCTCCATTTTAAATTCTTAGAATAAATGATTCATTTTTTGTTAATATGTTTAGAAGAATTGTACTTTATAATAACTGTACTTTATAATTGTTTTTCTTTTGCAACTTATAATATGCATTAATGTTGATTTTCATTTCTTTCATTAGATATTAATATTTTCTATTTTTAATATTAAATGAATTATTGTGCTCCGAGATCAAAGAATATTATGTCTATCAATTAAAATATATGAGATATTATAAATAATATTAATCATAAAAAAAATAATAAAATTCGATCTACAAATTTTTTATTTGACAGAAATATTGTTAAAAAAGGATTGCTAAATATAACTTAAAGCAAATAATTTTAGAAATATAGAACTTTCTTCCAGATAGTTATATTTTTTTTTATTTACATTCATATTTAAAGTATATTTTCATTCATATGTAAAAAAGTTTAAATTATCTATGATAAAATATAAAGTTCTTTGTTAAATAAATATTAAGTTTTTTATTTGAAGCTCAATTAATCTTTTCGAATTTTTTTTTGAAGTCTGTATAACTGCATTAACTATTTTATTATATATCTTATTTGAATTATCATAATTCAATATTCTTTTCATAACTATTCTTAGTAAATTTTATTATGATTGTGAATCTATTTTATTTTAAAAATTATTATTTTTAATATTTTTCCTCACTTTTCAGTTCGAATGTAGCATCCAAAAAGCATATTATATTAGTACAGATAGAATATAATTATGATAAACAAAATAATACAGAAAAAAAATTCAATAAGATCTATTGATTCATGTAAAAAAAAAAAAAAAAAAAAAAAAAAAAAAAAAAAAGGAAATATGACAGCACTAATCTTTCTACAATAATTAGTAGTAGAGCATAGTTTATATAGAAAAATAATAGTATAGAGAGGTTAGAAAAATCACGTAATGGTGGAAGTAAAAATTAATGATGGTTAAAAGGGCGAGAATATTGATAAAATTAATAATTAAATGATTAAAAAATATGAATAAACTCTGAAGGTAAAAGTTACATTAAAAGTCTGTAAATTCGAAATGTAATAGAAAATGAATCTTTGTTTCATTAGATATTAATATTTTCTATTTTTAATATTAAATGAATTATTGTTAGAGATTGATAAAATATATGATTTGCCTGAATTAATTGAAGGAAAAAGAAAAATATATAAAAAATATATAAAAAACCATAGAACCTATATAGAAAATCAAAAATAATTCGAAATCATAATAACCATTTTATTGAATGAATCTAATTTTCTTTCTTTCTTAGATACATGCTATGAATACTGTAGTCAACCATGTCAATATAAGATTAAAGAATATAAGATTAAAGTATATAAATATACTATATAAAGAAATCGATAAATGATTATATTATAAATAAAAAATATTGCATTGAAAAATACAATTATAAAATACTCTGTTAAAGAAAGAAAAATGACACATGATGTCATAAAGCATGAATATATATATGAAACTTGACCGAATTGCAATTGGTATATTAGACTCAACATTCATTCCATTGAATATTATTCAAAAAAAAAAAAAAAATCTAATTAAGTCACAAAATTGGTGAATAATTATTACAGCAAGGATAAAAAGACATATATATCACAAAAAATATATAAATATGAATGCTTCATATATGGAAAAATGAATCATATAGCAAAACAATATTAATATAATGAAAAGAAGCTACAATATGTATGTATGTAATAGAAGTAAATATAACAATTATAATAACATACATTCTAATTTTATCAGAAATGAAAGAATTACAATCAGGAAGAAACAAAATAACATAACTACTAGATACAAAGGCAAACATATATTTTAGATCATAAAATACAATATATTTCTGATATCAATGAAAATTAAATATAAAATTGAAGAATGAATGTTTCATTTTGACTTAACAATACATGTCAATATAAAATATATGACAAATACATCAGAATATTAATGTTGCAGAATATGATAAAATCTTTAAAAGCAAAATAAAAAAAAAAATTGTGACGAAAATAATGATCAAGAACAATCAACATCAAAAATATAATATATATAATATATACTACATCTGAGAATTAATTCACTATTTGTAAGTAAACTTAACTAAAATCATTATAACATTTAATATGAAATGAATAATATAAAATGATTGACTCAACATTGAAAGTGATATCACTCAAAAGTGATATTACTATATATATAATAGTAGATAAATAATAGTATTCAAAAAAGGATAGTATATTCATATTTTATACCAAATCAAGAAAGTTATAAATTATAAATCAAGAACCAAAAGAAAAACCAAAAGATAGTAAACTATGTTGGCATAGATGTTTGGATATTTGAAAAATATAAATAAAATGTACATATATGTAATAGAATATATAATATACTACTATATATATATATATATACTACTATATATATAATATACTACTATATATAATATACTACTATATATAAATTAATATTATATATAGTAGCTTCATTAAAGATTAGACAAAGATAGATTAAAGATAATTATATAAAACAACTGATATAATTGTATATAGTCATGTACAATAGGAAAACTCTATCAGAAACCTCATATCAGTATAAAGTACATTCATACATTAAATTATAAAATTTACATTGAATGCCAATGGAATCTTTGGCAGAATTTATTATGATGAATAAATAAATATATCAAGGTATATTCTATAGAAGAAATATATTATTTTATAAAATATATTAGATATGAAAATAAATTATGAAAACAAATAAATTAGAATCAAAAAGATCTGTTCAGATAATAAAAAGGAATTTATTAATTTTTATTAACAATTTTGAAGATTTTTTTAGGATAAAAAATATAGCTTATCAAAAAATTATCTTACAATATATAAAACAATTTACAATCTACGAAACAATAAGATCGCAGAAAAAACGAACAGAAGTTTGTTAAAAAAAATACAGACTATATTGATAAATGCAGACTTATTAAAGAATTTTTGAACGATAATAGCAATAACTTATCTAAAAAATCATAATAAGAGAAATGGAATGATTAAACCAATGGTTTTGTATTTAATTATTTAAATCGTACTATCATGTCCCAAAAAATTGAAAAATTGAAATAAACCAACCAGAAATAAAAAAGAATATATTCTTCAAATATCTAGAGAATAGTAAAAATTACAGAATATATAATCCTGAGAAAAAAAGAATATATTAAAATGGTAAAATTTGATGAGAATACAAAATTTTATTGAAAAGACAAATAGTGAGTAAGAAGAATTGCATATATTTAATAAAATATAATCAATTGAAAAAAACCAGGAAATAAAACTCAATCAAAAGAAAAAATGAAAATATATTCAAATAAAGAGAGAATATAATGAACAAAATACAATCAAATAATAAAGAACAGAGATTAAAGAAAATATATGCAGAAAAATAGAAAAATTATATTAAATTAATATTATATATATATATATATATATATATATATATATATATATTAAATCAGAGAAGAAAAAGGAAAAGCTTTGATTATAAGAAATAAAAAAATTCAAGCGAATTGAAAAAAAAAAATAAAGAACTATTAATATGGAACATCGGAATTCATCAATTCCTAATAGCAATAAAAAAACAATAAAAACAAATGATTGAGAAGAGACTTACAATAGAAAAAGAATTATGAAATGTGAAAAAAATAAAATCTGAAAATTCGTATTTAGAAAAAAAAATATCTTAAGAAAAAATAAGAACTTTCAATATTAAAAAAGATTAAAACAGAAAAGAAAAAATTTAAAGGCAAATAAGTGACCATTAGCAATAGCATATAACAATTACACATTAAACATTATGATTTAACATTTATATATTTATATGGAAAACTAAAAAAAATTGTATATGTTTTGAAGATTTTGAAGAAGACATATGAAAAATGTATCAATTATAAAAAAATATATATGATCTACAGTTTGGATATCAGAATAAATAATATACCATAATTATAATATATTCATAATTTTGTAGATGATAATAGTTTTGCGCTATTGTAATATTTTATTTTAACAATTATATTTGATTTAATTGAAAAGAATTTATAGATACTTAAAAGAAATAAAAAATTATTATTAAATTATAAGAAAACAAAGATTAATTTATATTTCAGTGTCATGTGGTATAGTACGTTTGACAAAAATAAAAAATGAACACGCAACATATTTAATCACTTTGAAATATTACATTGATTTAATGAATTATGTAAATTATTAATCAAAAATTTAATTATTACGTCTAAACACTTCGTACGTCATTCATAAATTATTGATTTATATAGCAATAGCGATTAAAAAAAAAAGGATTGAACATAATAACATTACATAATAAAATAGAATATAAAAAAGCATCATAATAAAATAGAATATAAAAAATATAATAGATAATATAATAGAAGTAGGAGAAGGAGAAGGAAAAGAAAGAAAAGGGAGATAGAGGACATTTCATACAAGTACAATGAAATCTCAAACCAAGTGAGTACTATAATAGATTGCTGTTTTAGACAGTTGGTTTGAAACAAACATATTGATGAAATGAAATTCCACTCATGGATAATGGATAAAAGCGAATATTAAATAAATAAGAGCAATTTCAATTGAGAATCAAATATCACTCTGAGGTATTTCATTCCTTTTTTTCAATGAATCATTTCATTATCAAGTATCAATGATGGAATGTCTTTCTTGAGGTGCTTATGTTTTTGTATGAACATTATTAATTGAGTTTTAGAATTATTAAACTTCATCTTCCATCTGATAAAGTATTCAGCAAGTAAGTTTAAATATTTTTAAAAACTTAGATAAACTTAGATAAATACAAAAAGATCTTCTCAAGATTGCTTGTCAGCAAATAATACTAGAGAAGTTGATTTAAAATGGGAGATATCATTTATGAAAATTAAAAATAGAATCGGACTAAGTATTGATTCTTGTGGCACTTCAGCTTTGATCAACTTGAACTCTAATCTCTTATTATCAATTTGAATGAAAAAGAATCTTTTTTCCAAGTAGAAATGTAATAATTTAATTAGGTTGAAAGTTTAACTTAATTAATTTATATATTAAATTATTGAATTGAATGCTTTGTTTAAATCAAAAAGGACCATAGCCGAATATCGATTAGTATTGATGTGATGAATGTGAAATTGGGCTATACATATGAATTGTTGAATAGTGGAATGTGCCAAATGAAATTCAAATTGTTGGTTAATTAAAATTTTATTTTTAATGATTTAGATGTGATTTATCATGAAAGAGTATATAATTTTTTCAAATATTTTAGTTACTATTAGGAGTAGATTAATTGGGCTATAATTCTCAGCCAATTTGATTCTTTTCCGGTTTTGGGATCGGAATGATTTTGACAATTTTCCACGCGAAGAGAAAATAAGAAAGCATAATTGAATTTTTAAATATATAGTACAGTTGAGTTGACATTCTTCTCGAGAAATTTATAAGTAACTCAGTGGAGATCTTATCTCATCCACTGGCTTTCTGTGGTCACAACTTCTTAACCAAAAAACAAATGCTATCAAATGAAAAGAGATCTAAGAATTATTATATAGATAAAGATGAAAAATAATGCTCTTTCAGATGAAAGTTATGAAATCGTTAATAGTGCCTTGAAGGACTGAAGAAGAAGTAAATCTATTGAAAAATACTATAAAATTGATCTGCACTTAATGAAGCTTTGATCGAGTTATCAGAATAAAAATTTCCTATTTTGTCCTTTAACGGGGAAACTTTAATTGGTTTTTTAGTAACTTTCCTAATTACTAATCAGAAAGAATAATCATTCAGCTTTGCCTTGTATTTTATCCTATATAAATTTCCATTTTAGAAAAATGATTCTCCTATTGATGCTTTTTATTAATTGAACATAGTATTCTTTGAAAAGTAGATTACTGCCAGCGGACTTCTGATAGAATTTTTCAAGGTTATCAAATCTTTCAGTTTCTGATCAAATAGTACAAATCGATTTGGCATCATAACAAGTTTTGTAGATCTATAGAAAATATTCCTTAATTCATTGAAAATATACAATAGCAGAATCTATTTCATCAGATAAATTAAACTTTGATTTAATTTGAAAATTTATTGTAAGTTAACTGTATTTATTGCAATCAGATATAGAAAATATAGAAATGGCTAAATGAATATTTATTCTAGAAAGAAGAAAAACAGATCTATGATTTGAATTTAAATCCTGGGAGATATCATATTCAAAGTTTCGATAGATATTAGTTAAGAAAAAATTAATAGTTAAAGGACGCTTGTTGAGTGTGAAGTGAATGTGAAATGGAGGAAAAACAATTGCACAATTAAAATTTGTCAAATAATCATTTAAGACTTTACTATTTCTATTAGAGTAGAAATTGTTTTAATCAGAGATTTTAGAATTTAAATCAATATCAATAAGATAAGGATCAGAAAAAGTATTAATAATTTCAGACTAGGTAAGATCAGACTAGGTCAATATCTGTCCGCCATAATACGCAGAAATTACAGTAATATTGAATTGGAAAATTGTCACTACCTCCAAATGTTTAAAGTTTGAGAAATAATATTAAAACGCAAATTATTAAGTATAAATATGGCAATATCTCCTTATTTACTATCCAGCTTATCAGCTTTCACAATGCTGTAATCTTTAATAATAATATTGATATCTGGTAACAGCTAAGTTTCTTGTATGGCTGCTATTATAGCATTATTGCTTTTCATGAACATTTCCAGCTCAAGTAATTTGTTATATGTAAAACATGCATTTCAAGTTATGATAGTTTCAAATAACTTAGAATTAAAAATGATAATTATGAGAATAGAAGTTAAACAGCTTCCCTTATTATTTCAATTTTGTCAAAGATTAGTACAATTTAGAATGGAGTGATTTTGCAAGAGAAATTATCTTTTTTTGCAAAGTTTACAATTTCTCTGAAGAATTCATTAGCTTTCCCAATGGAATTATCATAGCCAAGAACTCTACCATGTAAAAGTTAAGTGAGAGCAGTTGCAAGAACTGGTATAGGATTAAGAGAATTAACAATCCTGCCTGATCTTCGAAATGCGTTATATAATTTGATGATGACCATCTAAAATCACAGAATTAGGCGTAAGGTTATTTAATGCTACAGAAATATTATTAATACTCCTGTCATTAAATCATCATTATATTATGTCAATCTCTTAAATTTCTATCATTTTTCTGATCCAAATAAGTCTGAAATTTAGAACAGTTCGAATAGTTAGTCATATGCTCGTCATTTCATGCAATCTTTAGATATGTAATCTTCACCATACTTGACATATCTAGATAATTTAAAGCAATTGTCAGATGCATGGCTATATATATGCGAAAATATTGTGTGTAATTTTTATTTTTGTAATATTTTTTCTAATAAACTTTACAGAAATCTTTCTCATCTTTGCTATCTGAGCAAAGATAACGGGAAAGTTAATATGATAGATAGAGCTATCTCTATTAGACCTGAGCACTACAGAATTCATAGAATTAAGTTTATGGGACTTTAGTTTTTCAACAGAAGATGTTGTCAGAAAGATTGATTGTAATAAATATTTTACAATTCTATGTGCTTTTTCCAATAAGTCATTGGATTGAAGATGGAAACTAGTGGTTTTAATGTGTTTAATGTTAAAGATTTTTTTAAAAATTTGCATCGTTTTACTTATTAATATTAGCTCCTTTGTCTGTTAGTATAGATTTGACGATTGGTGCATCCATTTTGCATGGATAGTATAAACTCATTTCCTTTTTGTGTTATTGAAAGAAAACCTATGTCGAGTGAGATTTTATTATTTGGTTATTTGGTTTGATGATATATCAGGTGCGTTTTCTCTATATTTTCATCGTGTTATCTTTTAAGTTTGATTTTTGAATGGAACACTTTCTTATAAAATCATAAACATCTTTTTTTTAAGTTTTTTCAATTATGATTTTTAGTAATTCTTTTAATTGTACTATTGATTCCGAAATGTTCAATAATATTATTGTGATTTTTTTTTAGAATTTCAATTTCTCTGCGTTAGTGTATTTTTTCGGAAGGTTTGCATAAAAAATTATGGATCGATTTGGATATTTGTAAGATATGAAATTTATTCAAAAGACATCTCGTTTATTATTACTAATTTTTTATCATTGATTTTTATAATTAATTTGTGGGGTTTATTAATTACTAATTTATGAAGTCGCATCAATCAGGTCTCCTTATTATAGTCATCTAATTTTTATAATGTTATTTAATTATATATTTCTTTGATCATATAAACAGGAGTATCTAGCTCTTATTTCTGTGATCAATTCATATATCAAAAATTAGATAATCTATGTAAAAAGTCTATAGTTACTGCGCGGAAATTTGTAGGTAATTCCTGATTTAATTATTCAATTAATGTTTTCTATTTTATTATTAGGTATAGAATACAGTACATTGTCTGAAATAGGAGGATTTTCAAGTAATTTGAGAATTCGTTTGAGAGGATGCTTGTTTACTTGAAGTTGAATTTGTTGTAAAAGTTTCTGAATCTGAAGTTAGTACATTCGAGATAGAATATCAGCAGCAATATTTTCTTTTCCTCTTTTATATTCTATTTCATAATTATATTCTTTCAATTTGAGTCTTCATCTCATCAATCTAGAAAAGAAATCTTTTACATTATGTAGCCATTTAAGGGTTTAATGATCTGTTTGTATAAGAAATTTTCTGCTTAATTGATACTATCTGTGACTTCATTATCTATACAATCGTCAATAACTCCTTTTCTGTAGAGTTATAATTTTTCCGCATTCAGTGCATTGAATACATTGAGTGTTCGGGATACGTAAGAACATGAATGTCCTACAGATGCCTGAGATAGCATTATTCTTAATATTATCCTTTTCATTGCTGACATCGATAATTAGGATAAATATCTTTGTGAAGTCGGAATATTGTAATATGAGTACAATATTGTTACAAAAGTGTTTTTTTAATGTGTCAAGTGTTAATTATTCTTTGTCGGTCCAATGGAAAAGTATATCTTTTTTTATAATTATAATTTTTTAATATTATAAGATCCATTAAGATTTGGCGATTTTTAAAAAATTCTATATAAATTTGCGATAATATCGAGTCCAAGGTATGATTTCACGTTTGTCGCGGTTCACGGTTTGAATTCTTTTACTATTTGAATCTTTTTAGGATTTGATTTTACTTCTTTAGTTACAACATAGACTAAATATTCTCTTCGTGTTTAAGAAATTCGCATTTGTCCGATTGAATTTTAAATTTTAGATCTTTTAGTATTTGTAATACGATTGCGAGGTTTTGGTTATGCTTCTGGATAGTATTGTCAAAAATAATAATCCAAATATCCAAATATGTGAAATAATGTCGTTCTATCAATTCGCGAAATACAGTGTCCATCATTTTTTGAAAAGCGAATGCGTTTTTGAGCCCAAAGAACATATGATTATAATGAAAATGTTCTTGTGATGTGGAAAAGACAGTGTATTTTTTTAAATCGGGATACATGGAAATTTGATGAAATCCGGAGATTTAATGCACTGAAAAATTTTGCATTGTCAAAATGATCGAGGATTTCAGAGTTAGATAAAGGATCCTGCTCAGTTTGCTCCTTTAGTTTACGGAAATTTATTACTATCCGCCATTTACGTTTTCCTGAAACAGTTTTTTGAATACAATCCATAATCTTTTACATTTCAAATTATTTTTCAATTTTGGTGCTAACAACTCCTTACTATTAAGTATTTTATTTGAAATTTACTTCAAAGGACACTTCCTTAACTGCTACTTATTTTAAACAATTTTGTTTAAACTAAAATTAATTATATTAAATATAACTCTCAAATTTTGTTATAATTTATATTTGTGGAATTTATATTTGTTTTTAATTTAAAAATAAAACAATTTAAATAAATAAAGAAAGAAATACATATAAAAATTTGTTTTATTTACATTTTTTTTAGATTTTGTAATTTTCAAAGGTATGATATCTTTTGAAACAATTTTTAAGATGCAAATTTGATTTTCTTTCTCATATTTCACAAAAAAAATTGATTTTTTTTTTCCAGATATTTTTTGGTTTGAACAAACTGTACAAATTTTTGTGTTTTCTTTATAGATATAATAAAATAAAGCTATCTAAACGATCGTTTTCGTCACTTGTTCCAGATCTCAATTTCATGTTTAGAACTCTAGAATCACCAATAAGTCCCAACAAAATGCTTTCGAAATCTGAATGCTTTGAATGCTTTCGAAGTCATTGGCTTTCTTCATCCATTTTCAGTTTTTTCTTTATATTTAAAATATAAGCATAAAGAGATTTCAAATCCCTAAAAAAAACATTTTCTCCATCACTTCAATGTTCGATGTAAAAAACAACATGATATCGTATATTGATTTGCTACATCAACACTACCCATATACTTGTTATAATCGATGATCATTTCCGGTTTTATTTCTCTAATATTATTGGAATGTCTTCTAGAGACTTTGGAATGTAGATCTCAATTTTGTACTAAGCAAGTTATTACTCTTTTGTCTTTCCATGTTAGCACTAAATTTTTGCTTTTTTTTATTTGAGATAATCTCTTTTTGTTAGGCATCTCAGTGAGGAAACATTTTTTTGTGTAACTCGGTTGTCAATCAAGGATTTGCATAAAACCTATCACTGAAAATATATGCTTTGATATCAGGTATTTTTTCCAATAAATTTTGATAAAGTTATAATAATAACACAATTTTGCTAGTGAATTGAAGTTCTGAATGAATTAGTTCATCAGTATTTTTTTTTTTTATATTTTTTTTGTATTTTTTCCATAATATGGGATGAAGAAATAAATATAACTGCTTTTAGAATCTCAAGAAACATATATACGTAATCTCCATTTCGTTGGCTTTTTCGGGGTGTAAGTAATAAAGAAAATTTTCCTCTTTTTTAAGAAAACAACAGTTGACTTATTAACACATAAGTTTTAATAAGAAACTAAATATAAATATAAATTAATATAAATTTAAATTTGAATTGAATTAATTGTTTCTAAATGAAGAGATCAAATTTGAAAAAATCTTTTCCTTTTCAAAACTTTAGTAAAGAATGGAATTCTTCTATTGAAAACTCGAGACCAATATGGCTATAAATCTGGTAATATTGTATAATTAATGTTTACAGCATTTATTTCATCAATAACTTTTTTCATTCTTTAATTCTTCAATGTAGAAAAGCTTGAAATAATGAATGGATATAGTATACGATAATGAAATGTTTAGTCTAACATTTCTTTGTCCAACAAAAAAATTATAATCATAAATATAATTATATCACACCAGATTAATGGATCTGGTATTAGTTTGCAATTTGATAATTACTAAAATTTATTATTCTCATTACTGATGGAAAGTTTTCTCATTCATTTATTATATTTATAACGGAAATATTTCAGAATCTGAATCGTATATCTTTGCTATATCATCTGTAAAATAATTTGTGTCATCTTCTTTCTCGATTTCATTGAACTCACGATTTACTTCTTGCATACAATCATCAATATTATCACTATCCAAAATTTTTATTTAGTTTGCAACTCATTTTAAATTTTTAGGAGATTTCAGATATTTCAAGTCTTTCAGATAATATCAATTTATATTTACAGTAATTTGCATTATGATATGTTTTTAGTTATGCCAAAATACAGTCTGACCATCTAAATTTCGAGAAAAAAGCTGTTGATCCGACAACAAACTATCACATTTACAAATATGTTGTACAAACACTTCTATATCCACTCGACGCAATATCGAATTACATATATATAATTTGATGTACAGGTCAATCAATACAGATCGGACGTTTCAGTAAATAAAAAATGTCGAATGTGATTTGAAGAAGCTCTTGTAATAAAAACTGATATCGAATCATATTCGACAAAGAAATGCAAAGGATTAAAGGAGGAATCAGAATTCTTCTATTATTTTTTTGTTTAACATTTCATTAATTTGAGTTTCAATTTCCTTTTTATGACACTTTGGAAGTTTATATGATTTGATATTAATGGATTTAAAATTTCTAAGTATTATTTCATGCTGAATAATACAGAACAAGCTATCAAGATTGAATATGGAGTGATAGGAGATTAAAATTCTTTCAATAGTTTCGCGATATTCATCTATATGTTTACGAATTTTGGAAGCAAATTTAGGAAAGTCAAAATTATTTTGATCGTTTTCAATAGAATTATTTATATTTTTGATTCATCAGTGTTTATGAAGCATATTGTCATCTATTGTCTATTGTTCAGATATCTGGTTTATATACCGGTCCCGAATTATTGGATTGTCGGAAAGTAATTTTCTTTTCTTTTTTCATAATAATGAAACATATTTTTTTAATAGCATATATGTATTTTATTTAATTATATATTGATCATTATGGTCTTTAAGTAGTAGCATGATTCCACGCTCGTAGAACTTCTGATCTTTGTTTGTAAAAAACTAATTCAAGAGGTTTTTAACATCTTTATCTAAAATAAACGTTTTGGCACCTAAAGAATTTTGTAAAGATCGAAACAAATAATAATTCGAGGGTGCCAAATCTGATGAATATAGTGGGTGCGATAACATCTTCCTCCACTTCTGACGAGTCATTAAATTCGTGTAAATTCTAGCGTGATGAAACACTATACTTTTTCTTGTTAATTAATTTTTCTTTGTTAATTAATTCAGGTCTCTTTTATTTGATGGAATCATTAAATTCTATCATCAAATTTGATGATTTTGTTTAATTTATCTAATTGATTGCATGATTTCGAATTAATTGTATAATTGTCAAATAGAAGTTCAAAAAAAAAATGTTATAGAATTTAAAGTTCACTGAAATTTTATATGTGGTTTTATTTTTGAATATTATCAACAACATCACTATTTCATAGTTGGTACCTATTTGTTTTTCTTTAATATTAACATATTTCAAATGTTTTGTAAATAGATACGCGCAATCACGCATAATTAAATATATTCATACAGCTAAACCCGTACATTTTTATTTATTGTTTTCACTACTCAGTCAACAGTTATGGGTCCAGATTACAAAAGAAACAATAAATAATTAGGTAAAGTACAGTTAAATTGAAAAAGCACGTGGGTTAATTATCCGGCCTTGAGCAAACATGAAATATAATTCTAACCGTGATGGAATATGAAATTGTTCGTATTAATAAGTTGAAAGGATTGGAAAATTGGGTTCATGGAAATTTCAAGTGCGCGTTACTTTGAAATCCTGCATGTGTATGGGAAATAATTACAGATGAATCAATTCTTTCTGTACCAGAAAATGATGCGGCAAATCGTTTTATCAGGTGCTGCCTGGATAAAATTCGATAGTACAGCTCAATGCATAATTGCTATATCAGTGGATGAAAAACCACTTTTGCATATTATCAACTGTGAATCGGCTAAGGATATATGAAAAAAGCTGGAATCTATTTACAAATAAAAATCTGATACTAGTATATACATACTATTGCAGCAATGGTACAGTTACCAGAAGGAATCGGACGATGATATTACTATTCACATCGTAAAACTCGAGAATCTTGCACATCGGCTGCAAACTCTGGGTGAGAAAATTTCAAATCAAATGGTTATTACTAAAATACTTATGACATTATTCCTCCGTCATTCAAATATTTTATTAGTGCGTAGGAATCAACTCAACCCAACAAAAGAACTCTTACAAATCTTATTTCAAGGCTCACCATTGAGGAAAGAAGGACAGAAACCGAAAAAAGAACAGAAACATTGCTTTTATTGCTAATAAGTATCAATATAAGAAAAATTTCAAAAAAGGCAACGTTGGATCAGGCAATGTCATTATTGCCACAAACCAGAGCATTGAATCAAGAAATGCAGAAACCGAAAAGCAGCAATATCAAAAAATATGCAGGAAAGAAAGCAGAGGCAGTCATTGAAGCATGTCTGCAGAATATAATTTAGAAACATTCAGTGATGCATGGCACATGAATTCGGATGCGATTGAGCACATATCAAATCGTCGCGAATGATTCTTGTTATGTAAAAAATTTGACACAGTAGAGAATATTAAGATAAGTGATGGAAAATATATTTAAGCAATTAGATCAGGAGATATCAATATTCTTGCTTTCAATGGAAAAGAGTAGGTGCGAAAGTATCTCAGTAATGTTTTTCATGTACCAGAACTGAGTTTCAATCTTTTTTCGCGCGTTTTTTAGCTCTTGACAAAGAACTACGACAATATTTCGATAACAAAATATACACATTTGAAGAATGGAAATATTGTTACAATGGGAGAAAGAAAAGGTAAGTTATTTGTAATGAAATTTAAAGTCGTTACAGACGAGCATCAGGCAAATATAGCAGTGCGCAATTCTTTTTTCAATTCTGGCACAAACGAATGGCTCATCAGAATGTGGATCAGGTGAAAAAATTCTAAGATCCGAGAACATCATTTTTAAGGAAGTTTTGCTGCGAAGATTGCATTTTAAGGCAACTATATTTATATAAAATGCACAGACTATCATTTCCAAAAAGTGATACAAAATCTGAACGCATTGGAAAACTCATCCATGCAGATCTTTCAGGTCGAATGCAAGAAAATTCTCTTGGAGGAGCTCGATTTATCTTAATGATGAAAGATGACTACAGTCACTAAAGAAGCTTATATTTTATCAAAAATAAATCAGAGATATTACGATATCTAGAGGATTTCTTTAAGAAGACTGATAAACATTTAAAAAAAGGAATCAAAATCTTCAGATCGGATAACGGCCTTGAGTTTACCAATAAAAAAATTGAACTAATACGATATGACATCAGAAAACGATGACCATTTACCATTTACTCCGGAATGGTTATGCCGAACGGGAAAACAGAACTGTAGTTGACTTAGCAAGAATGTCATTACATACAGGGAAACTGCATCAAAATCAAAATGTGGGCTGAAGCAGTTAATTACACTGTTTACACTTTAAATAGAATCGGAACCAGTGGGAAGAAAGGAATAACACATTGAACTGCGGCTCAAGAAGAGACCGAACATTTCAAGGCTCAGAACCTTCGGAGAAAAAGTATATTTTCATATCTCTAAAGAGAAGAGACGAAAATGGGACATTAAAGCCGAAAAAGATGTTTTCGTTGAATATGATGAAAACACAAAAGGATTCTGAATTTGGCTTCTTGAAATAGGACAAATTAAAATACATAGGGATGTAAGATTCACAGATCAGCACTATGAAATTAATTCAAATGAATGAAGAATGAGATTCAGAATCAAAAACCATAATTTTTGAACATCAGAAAGACAACACAATCAAAATAAATGTTGAATCGAAAACCGTTATTCAGTCGGAAAACAACGAGCAAATAAATTCAGATGAAGAATCAAACGATCAAGAAAACAAAAATCAATACAAACAAGATCGACATTTGAGAGACAGAAATAAAATATGCCGATCACATAGGCTCACGTACAGAAATATTATAATCACAGAACACTATGAACCGGAAAGCTATGATGATGCAATGGAATGCAATCAAATGGAAAGAAGCCATGGATGACGAAATTGATTCTTTAAGAAAAACTCAAACATGAACATTAGTAAATCCGCCATCAGATCATTAAGTCATAGATAATCTATCATAGATGGACTTACAATTGAAAATAAATAGCGATGGAAGCAACGATTCAAGGCGAGACTCGTTATTAAAAGTTTCAAATAAACTGCTGGAATTGACTATCATGAAACGTTTAGTTCTGTAGTTAAATTCGATTCAATAAGAACTATCCTAACTATCACAGCTTCGAATAAAATATATTTACAGCAATTTGACGTCAAGACGGCTTTTCTTCACGGAGAACTCGACGAGGTCATCTACATGCAGCAACCGAAGAGATACAAGGATGGAACCGACCGTGTTTGCAAGTTGAATCGTAGTTTATATGATCTAAAGCAGGTATCAAGATGCTGAAATTATCGTTTTATAGCGGAACTGAAGAAACATGATCTCACATCCACCAGCGCAGATTATTGCGTATTTATAAATGGAAACGATCAGGACCGACTGATTTTAGCGATCCATATCGATGATGGATTAATTAGTGCGACCAGTTATCTATAAAAAAATTGTTAGCTGAACTCCGCAAAGAATTTGAAATAATATCTAATGAGATAAATACATATCTAGGATTACAGATTAAGCGACTGGTAGATAATTTCATATTTTTGCATCAGGAGGCTTACATCAAGAAAATTTTGCAACGATTTCGGATGGAAAATGCTAACGCAATAGCAATCCCAGCAGACCAAAATCAACTATGCATGGAGTGAGTACAAGCAAAAATCAGAGTTCCCATATCGATAAGAATAGGAAGTTTAATGTACTTGTCAGTGAGCACTAGACCAGACATTATATTTGCAGTAAAGAAAACCAATATTTGGAAAAACTCAACAAAATTCACTGGAATGCAGTAAAAAGAATTTTCAAATATCTAAAGGGAACAACAAAATATAATATTCATTTTTCAACCAAACAGAATAATCACATTAAAGCATTCAGTAATGCAGATTACGGTAGAGACATTGAAATCAGGAAGTCTATTACTGATTTTTTATTAAAATTAGGCGATTAGCTTAAGAGCTTGTCAACACGACAACGAACAGTAATTTTATCGACTGAAGCCGAATACATAGCAGCTAGTCAAACTATGAAAGAGATCATATGGATGAAAAGTCTGATTAATGATTTAACTATGTTCAAGAACTTACAACGATTCTTTATGTGGATAACTTGAGCGCAATCAAAAATCCAGAATTTCATCGAAGTAAGCACATTGAGTAAGTACGCTATCACTTTATACGAGACAAATTCAATGAGAAGGAGTTTTTTCTGCAACATATATAGCATATATAGCATCGGAGGATCAGCAGATAGATATTAACAAAAGCCCTGAGAAGAATAGTATTTGAAATACAAAGAAATCGACTGAATATCAAGAGTATCGAAGACATAATAGGCACATAGAATTATGACAATTAAACATAATAAACATACACTAAACAAAGTTTCAATTCACTTTTAGTGAGAATATTATAAAATTTAAAGTTCACTGAAATTTTATATTGTGGTTTTATTATTGAATGTTGTCAGCACATCACATTTCATAGTTGGTACTTATTTGTTTTTCTTCGATACACATATACTTCAAATGTTTTGTAAACAGATACACGCATCATGCATAATTAAATATATTCATTTAGTTAAACCCATACATATTTATTTATTGTTTTCACTGCCCAGTCAACAAAAAAAAAAACTCTCTTGAAATCCTATCAAACAGAGAGCATCATTTTTTTTTATTGGTAAATGTTGGCTTTCGAAGTGTTTTGCGCTGGCTCATCTCTATTGCTCCATGATCGTTTTTGTTTAACATTATCGTAAACGATTTGAGAACATATAAAACCCAAATATCAAATTTCAAAACAAAATCAAATTTATTTTATGTGATTATGAACAGTCGAATTCGATTCAATCTTAATTTCTCGAGTTATTATTCGTCGATTTGTTTCAATCAGTGCCTTTATTTTGTCTTCATCAGCTTCAACTGGTCTTCCAGAACATGGCACATTTTTAATGTCGAAATTTTGAAAAAAAAACCAGTAGTTTAACACTGGCATACTGTTAATTTTTTCATTTTTTTCATAGACTTCACATAACTTTTTTTTTGCCTGAACATTTTTATCTTTTCGGTAATAAAAAAGTAAAATATGCCGAAAATGTTTCTTTTGATTTTGCATCTTTGTTATTACACATGAAAAACACAACCGCATAGAAGCAAACGAATTTTTTTTATAAATATACTATGAAATGCCAACTCTCAAAATATATAATAACAACACGGTTTAAAATGAAATTGGCTGGATAAATATTCAACTAGCGACATTTGTATGAAAAAACGATATTATTTTCCGAACAATTCAATAATTTTCTTTGCGTCTTGGAAGAGAATTTTTAATTTAGTTTGTGAAAGCATTGTTAGAGATATTATATTGGTAATTTGAAAGGAAAAAATCCTATGATTCCATTTTCAATTAATGAGAAATCATCAGAACGACATGGAATAGATTTGGTTTTTGTTGGCAAAAAATAGTAATATAGAGATCAGTAGTGTATCTATTATGACCCGTAAAAAATTCTTTCTTTCTTTTCTTTATTTGATATTGGTAACTTTCGAAAATTTTATAATGTTGATGGTTGCTTCAGTATCAAATAATATTCGTCTGAATCCTGATATTCCTGGTAATTGATAACATATATTATATTGGAATTGATAACAATTCGTTTTCACTAATACAGATTTTTGATAATTTTTTGATTTTTGATAATTCGTTTGCCAATCTTTCGATAGATTTTCAATGTTGTTCATCCGAACTCTCGATTGAAATTTTCCGGTCTGGGCATTGTGAAAATTTTGGATATGATATGCATTGACTATGTATTCTATTTTGTCATTTTTATTTCTAAGTTTGGAGGGGAGTTCCGTGACGAAGTGGATCTTTGTTACCAGCTGCCTTATATTCTCAGTATAGATCTGTTATTGATAATTGCTCGTGATTCAGTACGTTTAAATGTTATCTGAATTCGGTTTGTATTATTTAAGAATAGTTATATCCCTGTTGCCATTGATTGTGTTTCAGTTAGGGTTCTCGGTTTACTAAGTATTACTAATGCTTCAAAATCTTTTTTCAAATTCATTAGATAAATTCTGATTGCTTCGTCTTCCTCCTCTTCAATTGCAATTTTTCTATTGATAGGTTGCTGATATTTATTGTGAACAACATATATAAATTCATTTAAATATTGTTTGAAACGTACATTAAATCGGTTTCAGTGAATCTTTGTTTGATGGACCATAGTTTATTTCTATAGCTATCGATTGTAGTTGGAATTGAGATATTGCGTTAGGACATGATAGAATTCCAGCAAACTCTATCCTCGTATATCTGATACTTCGTTTTGCATTGTTTGTTATTTTTTCAATTATTATAAGTTTTAATAATAGTTCTTTTTCACTACACAAACTAGTAAATAAATTCCATTAATTTTATGAAATTCTTTACATCTTCTACATCATTTGTCTCGTAAGATTTCGACAATGCGAATGGCCTCATTTGCATTAATTTATGAATTGTTTCTCATTGATCTTTTTATTTGTCGTGCTGTGCGTTTTTTCTTTTTTTTGAGTCACTACATTCGATATTTCCGTTTAAAGTTTATTCATTTATTCCTAATATAATGGATTTTTCTGTTAAAAAGATAACTCTCAATTGTTCTGCTTCTTTTATTTCGTTAGCTCTTTTATCATTTTCTTCTTTTAAGATAAGTAATCTTTTGTTTATCTCCGTTATCATTTCTGATTTTCGTCTAAATTCTGAAACTTATTCAGAATTAACTTTAAGATATATCATGGCCGGTTCCACCAGCCATTATAATTGAGTCATGTCGTCCTCCAAGTCAAAGATGTTAATAGAAGAATGATACTTGGAGAATTTCGGTATAAATCAAATGCTAGTTTTCGCAGTCGCAACAAATCTGTAAAGTTTTCTTCTAGTAGTTGGTTACGATAAGCTGATCTTGGCAGAAGCGCCAAAATGTCATGGAATAGTGATAGATTTGATAAATAAAAAATGAATTACGCAACATATTTAGTAATATGACTGTATATCAGTTATATTAGATTGGCAACACTTTGTGGAACAAGATTGATTACAAAATCTTTTAATATAGCTAAATTATATTACAGTTACAGTTATTTACAACTATAGTTTTTGATACCTGAAAAAAATAATATTAATATTATTCTTTTTTATTATATCTTCTTTTTCATAATGTTAATGTAATGTAATTTTTTTGTATTATTTATAAAATAATAAATAAAATAATTTTTAACAAAATATTTAAAAAAACATGTAAATATAAAAAGTTAATAATGTTACATATATTTATAGTTAAATAAATTGATCTTTTTAATTAGAAATAGAAATAAAATAAAATTTTGTATATCTTGCTCGAAAAATGTCTCTTCTATACCACTTCTTTTCCATATATTTAAAAATAGATATATATATATATATATCTCTATCTATATAAAAATAGCTATTGTGAATAAATATATATATATATATATATATATTTATTCACAATAGCTATTTTTATATTCATGATAAGTTTTCTTCAATTCAATGTTTTTTAACATTAATTATCAGAATTAATTTATAACATTAATTTATAACAACACGTTAGAAAATATTCCGAGTGCAAAGCGAAAGAATTGATAACAATCGCGATAATGCGATATTATTTATTATTGTTTATTAATCAATTAATTAAAGCATTTCACTCAATTTGTATCTTACTTTATTTAGTGTAAAATTAACAATAACATTTAATATAATCACAGATTTCCTAAACATTTTTTGATTTAGCCAATTAATTTTCTCGTCAAATATTTTAATAAATATTGAAATATATTGTAAAGAATATCATTTTAAACAATTTTATATACCTGGTGATTAGTTTTTTCAAATTATTAAAAAAAAAATATTTAATATTATTACATTGAATTCTATATATATTTCTATATGTATTTATGTTCATAATAACATATTTGGTATAACATATAACATATTTCGTATAATAATTAAATGTATGTATATTATTGAAAAATTTTTAATATTTTGTTAAATTTAATAAATATCTAATGTTAAAATTTTATATTTGGAGATGATTTCTTTTAAATTTAAAATGAAATTTAAAATAATTTCATCTTTGTGTTTTTCGGAAGAATATCTAAATATTCAATTGCATTTTTCAATTAAAATGTATTAAAAATATTATTTTCACATTATTTTATATTAAATTTTGTTTTATATCATTTTTATTTACCTTTAACTATCTAAAAATATAGCTTATTTTAGTTATACATATCTTTTATACATATATATAAAATATAAATAATAAAATAAAAATATAATATTTTATGTAATCTATATATTTAATAGGGTATTAATGTTGAGAGATACTTTTAGAGATTCAATTTTAAAGAAATCAAAAAAACAAAAGTTAGTACATAAAAAATTAAAATTCTTATTGTTTCTTCGTTATTGTTCTGCTCTATATTCATTTTTATCTAACGCAAATTTCAATTGTTTACAATTTAATAAATAAATCTTAAGATAATTTTTATATATCAGTTTTTGTGTTTATTTTGATCTGTTTAAATCGTTGAATTTTGATTTTGAATTTTTTTTTTAAATATTGATTAATCTTCCAAAGATGTTTCATATATATACAGATATGAATAAATATTAAAAATATGACAAAGTAAACTGAAGATTTTTAAAATAGTTTCACACAATATTTTTAAAAACCTTTATAAAAACTTTTTGGTTTTAACGAGTTCTTAACAAAAAATACTAACCAATTAAAGCGCAAACTTGTCAATTCAAAAATATTTAGATATTAACTTATGTTTAACTTTAACAATCTATCTTTATTAATTATAGAATAAATGAATTCAAAATTATTTTTTTCGATAGAATATTTATTGTATTTTATAAATATATGCAACTTAACTATATGTAATTAATTAAATCTTTGTATTCTTTTTATAAAAGTATTAGGAATTACATCGAAAATGGATTAATTTTCTAATTTTCTAATTAAAAATTATAAATTTTGTTTCAAATAAACTTCTCCAGAGTCTATATTTATTTGATTTATTTTTTTATTTATCATTTTTTTTTCAAATTTTTAGAATTCATAGTATATCATGATT